TGGCCTTACTACTAGGCTACTAGGCGCTCCTGGCCTTACTACTAGGAGCAAAGGACGCTACTAGGGGCTCCTGGCCTTGCTACTAGGAGCACTGGGGGCTCCTCGAGCAAAGGTCGCTACTAGGGGCTCCTGCCCTTGGTACCAGGACCAGGAGCAAGGACGCTACTGGAACCACCCGGCCTACTGCTAGAAGCAAAGGTCGCTACTAGGGGCTCTGGCCTCGCTACTAGTCCCGGCCTACTACCACGACCACAGAACGCTACCACAACTCCCAAAAACAAGGACTACAACCTTGCCGCACTGCTAGGAGCAAAGGACGCTACTAGGGGCTCCTGACCCTAGGCGCAAAGGACGCTACTAGGGGCAAAGGACGCTACTAGAGGCTCCTGGCCTTACTACTAGGGGCTCCTGGCCTTACTACTAGCAAGGACGCTACTACAGGCTCCTGAAAAGGAAACGGCCTCCTTTGCCTTACTACTGGGAGCAAAGGACGCTACTAGGGGCTCCTGGCCTCACTACTAGGAGCATGGATGCGGGGCTTCTGGCCTTACTACTAGGAGCAAGCACGCTACTCCAGGGGCTCCTGGCCTTACTACTAGGAGCAACCAGGAGCAGAGACGCTACTAGGGGTTCTGGCCTACTACTGGGAGCAAAGGACGCTACTAGGGGCTCCTGGCCTTACTACTGGGAGCAAGGACGCTACTAGGGGCTCTTGGCCGAAGCTGTGGAGGTGGAGATGTTGTGGGTTGAAATGGATCTTTTTTCGGCTGGTGCATGGAGGTGGCTTCAGCTGTGGCTCTCTGGCGCTCGCCTGATCTCTGACGGGCATCTTCCCTTGAGGAGGCGGGGGGATAGTGTTTGCGTGTCAGGGGCAGAGAGCCGGAGATTCCAGGTTCAAGTCCTGGGCAGCTCACTGTTTGTGCTCCCTTGAGGTGCGCAGGATGCTCTAGTGGTAATAACCCCGGCTCGCGTGGTTTTTTTGTGGTGGTAGCTGCAGTGGCAACGAATGGCTGACAGCACGTTGACGCAAGTGGCATCGATGATGTGAGGCCTGCATATCCGTGCACCATGTCTTGAGACCCCTTATAGTTAAATTGCTTTCTTCCCTCCAACAGGCCGGAGTCACCACTAGAGCATCCTACGCACTTCAAGGGAGCACAAACAGTGAGCTGCCCAGGATTTGAACCTGGAATCTCCGGCTCCGGAGGCCGACGCCTTATCCATTAGGCCAACAGCCCTTTCTGATCAACTATCTGTCAAGGGCTGAGTCTGCCCCTGACACGCAAACACTATCCCCCCGCCTCCTCACGGGAAGATGCTACTCAGAGATCAGGCGAGCGCCAGAGAGCCACAGCTGAAGCCACCTCCATGCACCAGCCGAAAAAAGATCCATCTCAACCCACAACATCTCCACCTCCACAGAT